ATGTCCCCTGCGTTGGCAGGCGGATTCTTAACCACCGCGCCACCAGGGAAGCCCCTTCTATACTGATTTTAAGAGAATGAAATGTGGTATATATACTTATCAATTACTTTTTAAGAGGTCCAAATTGCTGCCTGGCAGTTGGTGACAACAGTGGATATGTGCAGGTTCAAATGTATACATTTGAAGCAGTTGAAATGTAATTTCCAAACTCAGGGTTAATTCATATCCTTAGTTAGAACAGACAGTATTTTCCTAGCACCTAAGCCCCTTATTTCTACCCATTCTTCATATGCCCTTTGCAATAATCTGGTAATTGTGTGGCCTCTGGATCAGACATTGCTCATTAACATCAGGGTGATCCCTGTGGTCCTTATGAGCCCTCTTAGTAACTTAAGACTCACACTGTCACTTTCAGGTCATTGAAGTAGCTTTTTGCAAATAATTGCTAACAGTATAAATACTGCCTAGTGTCCTTTGGAAGGGTTAATGTTACGGTGTTGCGAAACAGAGGAGTTGGTTCATTAGAATTCCCCCCTAAGGAGTGTGGAGGACTCACTCTGTAGGTCCCCAGAGCTGCACTGTCACTTGCCATTGGTCACTTTTGACCACTTGAAATGGGGCTGGTGTAACTGAGGATCCGCATTTTTAATCTTAATGAATTATTTAAAATTTAAGACAGAAGCAGGATATTTTTCTGTTGAATATAACTTTATTCTGGGGGGACAGCATTTCATGTGATGCTGTCAGGTGAGATTTGTTATGTATGTTGAGTGTTTTGTCACTTCTAATAGCTCGTTAATAATTGAAACATTTGGGTTACATGGTAGAATAATTTTTTGACATGGGTGAAATAAATATATTGTTTAAATTAAATTCACTTTTTTTTTAGTAAGGCTACTAAAATTGTTTAAATTACACATGTGGCTTGCATTAGATTTCTACTGGAAAGTACTGCTTTAGAGCATCTGTTATAGGTAGATGAAATTAGCTTGTTTTAAAGTTCAAAATTAGTTTTCAGACTTGTATTTTTGACTTTGTATAATCAGAGGTGTTTAGAGGAAGGAATCTTAGGAGTCACTTAACCCAACCCTGTCCTTCAGCAGATGGAGAAACTGAGGTTAAAAGTTACTGTAACATGGCATGCCCTAATTCTAGACGGGTACTGAACTTAATGTTCTTTATAGCCTATTGCTTTGGGTCCTGGGTTTACTTGGCATTGGAAACATGGTGGGCGTCAGGGCTGCAAAGAGCTTCCACGAGATCCAGACCAAAGAAAAGGCCTTTAAAAAAAAATTATTTTAGGCACTGAGAGAAAGGAATTTTTGTGCTGTGCCTACCAGTAGACAGGGTGATTGATTCCATGTTTGACATGTATTTTTGTTGGGCAGTATAATGATACTTTCATGGGGAATAGTAATAAGGTACAAATAATACCCACACTTTGTGTGATCATTTACTTTAGAAAACTCCATACATCTGGCTTTCATATTTTAATTTAGAGAGTTCTTTTCCCAAAGCCAGAGATTTTAAACCAGACCCACAGCTTTTGTCCTTGAGAAAAAGACTGAGAGCTTGACTTCATGTGTTTATTGTTTAGGTAGGTTGCCTGAGATCACTCGGTAAAAGTTTAGGCCTGTTTTATGGTATTGTTTTCTTATTAACAAAACTGACTTAAAGGAAGAAGCCACCAACAACTGCAATGGGCACCCTTAGAGCACACCAGAATTTTATTTCTATTTTGAGGCATAGAGGAGGAAAGGGAGGCATTGTGAGTTATTAAGTGGTGATTTGATTTATGGGTCTGTCCGTCAGGTTTAGAGAGGGCTGCTTCTGCTACAGATGCAGCTGACAAGCTGGGCAACCTTTGATATTTAACCTTTCTGAACCTGTTTCTTCATCCCACTAATCTTCACACAGAGTAGCATGAGGATTAAATGATACAGTCATGCAAGTGAAAGTATTTTGTGCTCCGAAAGCACTGCAAATGGAAGGACTGGTGTCTTGAGGGCTTCCTTTCTCCAAGGAGTTGTAGAACTATTTCTGAGGTCACACTTGGTCTTGGTGAGGCCTTGGATGAGTCAGTCATGTTTGGAATGTGCATTTAGTGGGTCCAAGGCCTTGACCCCATGATTTGGGAGTTCTCAGGGGTCCACTTTAATTTAGAGCCACTTTTGCTCTTGGTAGTGGAGACGATCTGCCTGAAGTAAGGGTTAGAACTGGGAGGCTCTTAGCCCTATTGTATTGAGCATGGACACAGACCACCCAGGATTTAGAGATTAGGAGTAGGGAAAGGAAAGCTCTCTGCAGAAACTTCAGTCAGGTAACAGAGTTTTATAGGCCATTAATTTGGCTGCAGGGTCGAATGCCATACAACAGTTTTGTAAACGTCTGTTTTCAAAATAATTCCTAGTATTTCATGAATTTAAGGAATAGAAATTACAATAGGGGGACTTCCCTGGTGGTCCAGTAGTTAAGACTCTGCACTCCCAATGTAGGGGGCCTGGGTTCGACCCCTGGTCGGGGAACTAGATCCTGCATGCATGCTGCAGCTAAGAGTCCACATGCCATAACTAGGGGTTCACATACTGCAACGAAGATCCCGTGTGTCACAATGAAGATCCTGAGTGCCGCAACTAAGATCCGGCGCAGCCAAATAAATGAATGAATGCATGCATGCGTGCATGCAATAGGAAAGTCTAGTTTGAAATCTAATTTGTGTTAGTTGACCAGATGCCCCCTCCTGGGTTCTGCTCAGTCAAATGAGACCTAGGGCCACTTACCCATTTAGCATCTCTGGGCCCTGGGATTCTCATTTGTAAACCTGGGGTTTGGTCTGTGGTCTGCAAGATCACTGTCAGCTCCCCTTAGTCAATTGTGTGTTCGATGTAATTTAATGGCCAACAGACATATGTTTCTGAGAGACACATCCCTAGACAAGGATGCTTTTTCCTGGTCTTTAGAGAGCTGGTGGATGGGTCAGCCTGGCCGAACCTGCTTTTTCTTTTATAGATTATACTCCATTTAAAGTTATAAAATATTGATTATATTCCTTGTGCTGTACATTGCATCTTTGTATCTTATTTATTTTATACCTAGTAGTTTGTTACTTCTTAATTCTCTTCTCCCCCAGGCCTCTCTTCACTGGTAACCACTAGTTTGTTCTCTGTATCTGTGAGTCTGTTTCTGTTTTGCTATAGTCATTTGTTTTATTTTTTAGATTCCATATATAAAATGAAAACATAACAGTATTTGTCTTTCTCTATTGGACTTATTTCAGCAAGCATTAATACCTCCAGGTCCATCCATGCTGTTGCAAATGGCAAAATTGCATTCTTTGTGGCTAATATTCCATTGTATATATACACCACATCTTCTTTAAACATTCATCTCTTGATGGACACTTTGGTTGCTTCCATATCTTGGCTGTTGTAAACAACGCTGCAGTGAACATCAGGGTGCATATATCTTTTCAAATTATTTCAATTATTTCAAATTCAAATTATTTTGTTTTCTTCAGACATATGCCCAGGTGTGGATTTGCTAGATCATATGGTAGTTCCATTTTTAATTGGACTTGGTTTTTCTTTGGAGTTTACCTTGCCTGTTAGAAGGGCTGAGGTTGCTGATTTTGCCTGTTTCACCTGTTGAGACTTTGCCTAGCCTCTGTCTATCTGTGTGCACCGTGGCCTTTACATTTCTTGCCCCTGCAGATGTTTTACCAGCTCCAAAGGCACCAACCAAGGTTACCTTGGCTGGACATAGATTGGTGATTAAACAAATGCTGTTTGCCGGACAACTGATTGTATGTATGTACAGTATATTCTCTTCTTTAGTCTTAATTTTGTTATCTTTAAAAATAGTGGGAGGGCTGATTTTGAAATGATTCTGGAATTAATATAGGAGACCTTGTATCAACAATTACAATGTGTTTATTGAGTGGGTACCACGTGCCAATATGCCGCAAGGTGTGAAGGACACATGAGTGGGGAACAGAGTGGGGAAATGAGCATTTCTCATTGCTGGTGGGGTGTAAAAGGTACAGCCTCTGTGGAGAGCTGTTTGGCAATATGTATCATAAATAAAAATGCATATACTCTTTGACCAGCAATTCCACTTCTAAGTATCTATCTCACAGATAATCCTCACACATTCGTGAAATGATTTATGTACAAAGGTAGCCATTATAGCATCATTTGTAATAGCAAACGATTAGGAATAACTTAAAAGCCCAATGGGGGCTGATTAAGTAATTATTAAATAATATAGTACATCCTCATAATGAAATACTACTCAGCCATTAAAAATAATGGAACAACTCTAGGCCCTGATATAGAACCATCTCTAAAATAAATAGGGAGAAATAAGTGTGGAACATTATGATTATATGCTACTTGTGTGTGTGCCTACGGGTGTGTATTTAATAGAATATCTTCCTAAGAACACAGAAAACTGATGCCAGTGGTTGCCTTGGGGAAGGATAACTGGGAGATTACTTTTGCAACTTTTAAATTTTATACTATGTACATCTATCATCTATTAAGAAAAGACATTGTTGGGCTTCCCTGGTGGTGCAGTGGCTGAGAATCTGCCTGCCAGTGCAGGGGGACACGGGTTCGAGCCCTGGTTCGGGAAGATCCCACATGCTGCAGAGCAGCTAAGCCTGTGCGCCACAACTACTGAGCCTGCGCTCTAGAGCCCACGAGCCACAACTACTGAAGCCCACGCACCTAGAGCCCGTGCTCTGCAACAAGAGAAGCCACCGCAAGGAGAAGCCCGCGCACCGCAACCAAGAGTAGCCCCTGCTCACCGCAACTAGAGAAAGCCCGCGCACAGCAACAAAGACCCAATGCAGCCAGAAATAATAAATAAATTAAAAAAAAAAAGACATTGTCATGCCTTGAAGGAGTTTGCAGTTTAGTCAGACCAGATAACATAAGATATACGAAGTACGGGGTAAATATTGGCTTTATGGGAAGATTTAAATGCTAAGCTCTGTGTGTGCCGTTGACTGGATTTGCCCTGAGTCATCAGGATGGGTGGGTCTGAGCTTCAGCAGAGCCAGCTTCCAAGCCTTAGCGTCCCACCTGGGGCTAAAGCAGTTTGCAGCCTTTGTCCTGCAGTGGTGGGAAGAGCCCACAGGCTCGGAATCAGTTCTTGGTTGGGGTCCTGGCTCTGCCACTTGCCAAGAATGCAATTTGGGGCAGGGATGCTTGAGGCCCAAAGCCTAATTGTGCTCATTCGTAGATGAAGATAAGCCACCTCCCCCTTGCTCTGCAGTGAACACCCCTGCAAACCATGAAGTGCTCGGCAAATGCCAGCTCAAATAGAAGCTGCGAGGCACCTGCAGACTGGCAAGCTGGGGCCAGAGGTGCAAATTGAAACAGTGAAGCAAAAATGTGTCTTTTCCCCCCTCTGCCAAATAACTTGGCAGGATTTGTAAAATTAGAAAAGTAGACCATAGTAGTTTTGGAATCCTTGACCTCTGACCTTGGGGCAAGTCATTTCATGCTCTAGACCTGTTTCCCTATTTGAAAAATGGAAGGGGCTGTGCGTCCTCTGGGCCCCTCCAGTCGCAGCGTTCTGTGACAGTGTGGCATTAGCAGTAATTCCCATCTCAGCTGAGATGAGTCATACTGACCGAAAAGTCCACATGTGAGGAGGAAGTCTCTGAGAATTTTCCTCGTGCTGGAGGATCTGAGCCTCTGGGGGGAAACGGGGAGGCGTGGGGGGATTGCTGCCACCAGAGGGGAGACCAAGAAAGCAGAGTGAGTGGAGATGGGTGGTTTGTGTTCTTCACTCCAAAACCTCCTTTGCTTTCAGATAGTCATGTGGACTAGATGTTTGGAAAAACCTGGCTTACCCCTTGTTTAAGCGGGTGGGATGTTCATGCAGTTGTGACTGGCGTACTTAAGTCAGTTGTCACTCCTGTGAGGTCTTTCTGTGCAGTTTAGTGACACTTCCTCTGTGCTGCCTTGGCTCCTACATGTTTCTCCTTGAGTCTCTAAACTGAGATCAGAGACTGTCCTCTGTTTATCTCTGTGTCCCCAGCACCTAGCGCAGTTCCTGGCACCTGAATGGCAAGCTATATGCATGTAGTAGATGGGTTGCTGGATTAATGATCCATTTAGGGTAGTATGGACACTAAATCTTGTTAATCTTGACCACCACCTTTATTATAACTATCACCATTCTGAAGTGATCTTTTAGCTATTAGTATGAAATATTTCATACTCAAAAATTTCACACTAAAAAAGAAATTAAAGACCCCCCCCCTTTGGAAAGTATTTTAACAGGATGCACAAAAAAGAAAAAAGTCTAAACGTTTTAGAGTCTTTCTATATTACAGTATATAATACATATGTATCTAAAATTCATCACTGCCACCACCAGCACAGGCACACAGGTCTTTGGCTACCGGCAAGAAACAGCAGGCCTGGGTGACTGTCCCAATTCTTAGCTTTTAAAGCTTAACTGTAGGCAGTTAAATCTGAAAAGGAGCTTTAAGATAGAAATAAATAATTTCTGTTTACAAATGCAGGATCCACAGAGGGTGAAGGATCACTGAGGAAGTTCAGAAGTGGCAGTAAAGAGCCCCAGTAGTTCCAGTGTGCTAGGGTACTGCCCTCCGTCATGGGGGCTGCCCTTTAGGAGGAGGGGCAGGAGGGTGAGCAAACAGGGCTGTTTGAGCTCAAGGTAGACATCTGACGGCCTGGTTAGTCCACGCTAGGTTAGTTTCAGTGTATGTTAGGTAAAGTGAGCTAGGGAGTTAGAGCCAGTGCACCTGAAGGTTATATTGGTAAGATGGGTGTGTGTGTTTTCCTGTAGACTCATTCTAATAGTGATGGAAGACCGAGTCACAAAGTTCCTTTCATGTGCAGAGGACAGCATCCAGGACTGAATACATTCATGGCTGCTTCAAAATGGGGAAGAGATGAGAAAAAACATGTCCTGAAGTTTGCTTATCTAACCAAGCCATTCTCTTGACATAGTGACTGACCCTTGCATAAGCCCTTTGATTGAGGCCCAGCAGCAGCATCCTGCTTAAATACAGACAACCAGAAATTAACTCTGCTGGCATCCAGGTATGAAACTTCCCATGGGAAAGTTGGATCCATCCACTTTTCGTAGCAGTGGCCTCACCTGCTATTTTGGAAATTAACTGTCCTTTATGATTTATTTTTGGCCAAACACATGTGCCTCTTGAGAAAATAGTCCAAGTTCCTAGTCTATTCACTTTCCAGTTTTGCTGTTATCTTTGCATCATGCTTTACAGTGTACAGACAAGCGTAATGGGTGAGAGTTCCAGTAAACTGGCTGGATCACATTTCTTAGATTGAGTCATTGCTGAGAAACTTGTTTGTGAACAGGAAATGAAATGAAAATGTCTGTACACAGTACCAAGCTGGACTGTGAGGAAACTGGACCATTTTTTAGCTGAAAGACAAAAGGGTAGAAGGATGCATCTGTGATCCAGGGAATAGCAAATTTGTGATCTAGAGTTTGTTTTTTTTAAATTTATTTTTTTGGCTGCGTTGGGTCTTCGTTACTGTGCTCGGGCTTTCGAGCGGGGGCGAGTGGGGGCTACTCTTTGTTGTGGTGCGCGGGCTTCTCATTGCCATGGCTTCTCTTGTTGCAGAGCACAGACTCTAGGTGTGTGGGCTCAGTAGTTGTGGCTCGCGGGCTCTAGAGCACAGGCTCAGTAGTTGTGGCGCACGGGCTTAGTTGCTCCACAGCATGTGGGATCTTCCCGGACCAGGGCTCAAACCCGTGTCCCCTGCATTGGCAGGCAGATTCTTGACCACTGCGCCACTAGGGAAGTCCCTAGAGTTTTAACTTGTTGAATAATTCATGTCTTGATGTGTGTTTGAGATTTTTTATGCTGTTAAAAATTGCTAGTTATTTTAATGAGAACATACTGTATAGCACAGGGAACTCTCCTCAGTGCTCTGTGGTGACCTAAATGGGAAGGAAATCCAAAAAGGAGGGGATATATGTATACTTATAGCTGATTGACTTTGCTGTACAGCAGAAACTAACACAACATTGTAAAGCAACTATACTCCAATAAAAATAAATTAAAAAACAAAGCAAAACAAAAATAATTGCTAGTTATTGAAGATTGAGGAAATAATCCCTGGTAAGTTTTCTCTAGAAGGAAAACTTGGATTAGTGGTAACTATTACCTGTTAGGAGTCTCTGCTGACATAGAAACTGGTTGCTAGGCCAGTTATTTTTAAAAATGGAGCTGTAGTTAACACAGATTAACCCAGTGACATTTACACTTGGCCTAGGTGGCTGTAAGTCCTCTTCCATCTCTAACATTCTGTGATTCTATATAAATATGTTTTTTTGTGATCTTTGTTTTCTATCACCCGCTCCATAATTATTACAGCAATATATTCAGAAGTTAGCAAATCAGTCCAGTAGACTCAAAAAAAGTACCTGAATGTGGGCAGACTATAGAGAATAACCTGTCATCTCATCTGCCTTCTCTAGAAGTCTGAGAAAACAGTTGCCTTGTCTTGTGTATCTTCTTGTAATGAAGCAGGAGAGAAGTAAATAGGCAGATAAATATTTATGAAATAGAATAATCATCAGTGAGATGTATTTTAAAAACACACCTGCTTGGTGTCATTTTACTTTAGGAGCAAGGATTGTGACTGCAGAGTAGAGCATTGTGAATCAAGGAGATCTTTGTTGTTGTTCAATCAATTCTTCAGAATTCGAGCATGCCCTCAGTTGTTTTTGCACTTTCCTATAGCTCTTAATTTGGTTTATACTTCAACGGACAGTAGGATGAGATTCATGTTCCATCCGGTTTTGTCCAAAAACATTTGAGCAGCTTCTATGGAAAAAAATATTAAACCAGATTTAGCTTTTAGGTGAATAATATAACCACCTGGGCATAATATAAAGACTGAAATGTATGAAAGAAAAGCAATTTAGACTCTGAATGCCAGTAGTTAATATTTGGATGGAGAGATCGATCTCAGGAGAATAAACTTTAAAAGAAGATTTATTATTTTCTTAATGGAAATACATGATTTTAAGAAGGAATCTGTATAAAGCAATTATACCCCAATAAAGATGTAAAAAAAATAAAAATAAAAAATTTAAAAAAAGGAATCACTTGAGACATTGTCTTAACACTTATACTGTAAAATTGGAAGTGAGGATCAGTTTTCATTGTCTGTTTACAAAGTTAGTTATCTGTGCAATTTTTTAAAAAAGTTTATTGGTGAAATTTGTTTTTAGAAGAAACCTCCCACCACCTTCCCGTCATCCTCTGGACAAAACAGAGGATGGGAGAGGGCAGGTAGGGAAAGGGGTTGGGAGGTGCAAGCTTCATTTATACATTTGAATATATATAATAAAAACCATTTTATTTTTCATTTCAAATACTTTTCTAAAGCCTTAGTTTACTGAATTGCTTTAATTTAGGAAGAGATGATATCTTTGCTTTATCTTTTCTGATTTGGGGGGATCATCTGAGCATGATAAATGCTTGTTTGTTCAAAGCACTAAAATTGGCTTGCAAAAGACATATTATTATGGGATTCTGTGTTCAAGGGCTTTCTTCTGTTTATCCTGGAACAAAGACATTTGTTTTAAAGTGGTACGAGTTAATAGTCCAACTTCAGATTTCCCATAAAATGCGTAACAGATTACCCAGATGGCAAATGATGATATATAGAGACATTTTCAATATGACTGTTTCCATTGGGCCAGATGGTGATTTAACGTGAATTGTCAAACATTTACGTTCTTATTAAATTGTCTTATTTTGTCAAAGCCAAGCTAGCAACATAACGTGGAATACACTCAGGAATTGCAAAAGGACAACAACAAAAATTCAGACACCAAGTATGGCAGACGGCATTTGCTCCATATGGCATGTGAAGGCTCACAGCCAGTGCCTGTGTTGCCCTTGGGAAGCTTAAGGAAATACCTGTTGAAATGCCATACATTTCCTCTCCCTCCCCAGACCCTTTTTATCTGCCCTCTTGCAGGGCAGCCATGCTTCCTCAGTGCCTCAGGTTGAAGTGTGGGAGAGCAGCTTAATTCTTCCACTGGCATTGTCCTTCCACACTGTCCGTTTTGTTATGGGCACCACCCCAGCTATTTCCTCTTAGATGGTTCGGGAATTTTGCAGAGAGATGGGTCATTTGTGGAGTAAGTCATGTGCCCGGTCACAGGGCTCCTTCAAGACAGCTCACTGCCTGAGGTCAGCACAGAACACAGTCCTGGGCCTGCAGGGCTCCCCACCAGTGAGTTGTGGGTCAACAAACTTTTGCTGTTCTCATTTTCAACATAAAGCTTTGAATATTTCATGCAATATCAAATCGCTGCAGGTTTTCTCTTCCAAAACTTATGTGAAAATCTGAGTAACACAGTATATGATATATCAAGGCCATGACAAGCAACCCCTTGTTACTGAATTCTGAATTTGATCAGAACATCTGTTTTAAAGGAATTCAGAATGGTTAAAACTCAGCTTTTTTTTTTTTTTTAAGCAGATGTGTTCTTTCAGAGACCTCGCATGGCAAGATTAAACATTATATAAAAATAAACTTAAAAATGAAAACCTCTGAGAACACTTTGAAACCTGTTTTGGTCTATTATCTCCTTGAAGGCTGCCCAGCCTTCATTAAGAACAATTAGATGTTGTCACTTGAAATATCTTTTGGTGGCATTCCTGGTGGAGACGGTCAGCTCTGGCTGTAGGAGCCCCTCCACCTCCCAGGGTCCAGCATTGTTTCAGATCAGATAACAAGAACAGGTGCTCAGGAGCTGATCCAAATGACATTTTGTGTTTTATTTTTCCTGTTTGTTGATGAGGATCCATCAATGTGTCCTTGTCTAATTATGTTATGGGAAATTTTAAAACACTGAATTGGTTTGGAGCTGTGCATTGAAGGTTAGTCATGTCAGGAATCGAGAGGGTGTTGTGTGTGTACATAAAAGTTTACATAAAAGTGTATGTTATTTACTTTTATTTACAACACGCGATTCACATGCCTTAGTGGTCAATTTCAGACCTTCCCTGAGGAGGAACCAAGTAGCTTTATGGCTGAGTGTTGTTTCAAGGCTCCCACTACAGTTCCGTCTGTAACTTCATTATTATCCTTTGGCCTGGAGCTTGGTCTCACTTACAGCAAGTAGTAGGGCCCATCCTACTTCTTGTTGGGATGCATAACAACACTTACATATACTTTACATTTATAGAGAAATTTCTTCTACATTTCATTTGATCCACCAACAGCCGTATGGTAGGGGTAGGATGGAACAATTATACTAAATTTATAGCTAAAACACCTAAACCCACTCAAGACATCTGATGGGGAGGAAAGGGGGGAAAAGGAAAGAACAGAGTTGTATCAACTCTTGGTGTGATTGCCACTGACAATTTTAGAGTAAGTTACATTAGAAATTTCCCTCCCACCCATAGTTCTGGGTTCTAGGAATACTTTGGACTAGTCATATTTGTGAGGTGTTTCCAACATAAATTCTTCAGTGCTCTTTCAGTTCTTCCATGAAAAAGTCAAAACTGAATACTGGTTTTTATCCTGGGATCTCTGAACAAGGAGAAGCCCCAGGCCTAGGGCAGTCTGGGGAAGTGAGGGCAGATGTGGCAGAGTGACCCCCAGGTGCAGGGACAAGTATTTGGGTTTCTCTATTGTTGACCTTCTAAAGAGCTCAATGCACTTTCCGTGTCAGTTTTTGAGAGAGGTGGCAACAGGTACTGCTTATTTTATAGAGAAACTAGAGTTCAATTGAGATAGCATGAGTATGCATTTCCTTAATTTTTAGTGCTAGCATTTAGTAGTGAACACCCTGAACGTCTCCTTAGCACCTTGGTCGTTAGCTCCAGTTTGGAGAATGGCCCAGACAGGATACTCAGCTGTAGCTAGATTCCCTCAGAAGATATGGCCCAACCTAATTAGAATTTTAAAGTAGGTTTCTCTATATCTTGGGCCTTTCTCTTTTCACATGACCCTTGTGTAAACATGTCTATTAAAGTGGAAACAAATAATTTTTAAAATGGAAATTCTCATGTTTTATTTTAGTGGGGAGCCCCCTGAGAAGATAGCCATGTATGACTGAATGCTCTACGATTCCTATTTTGTTGCTTGTGGCCAGGAAAATAATCCAGGTGACATTTGCTCAATCCAGTCTTCTGAAGTGGTGATGGCCACTTCTTCCCACCACCAATACGTCAAGGCAAAGTCTACATATACAACAATGGATTTTATTTCCTGCCCCATTTAGGAACCACTGTCCAGTGATCAGACTTCGTATTTTTAGTGTGGGCTAGTGGTTAAAAATCAGGAGTCCAGGATTGGCTCATATTGTACTCATGCCTGGGTATATATCCCTGACCTGGCACTTTCTCGTAGTACGTCTTCTTTCTAAGCTTCAATATACTTATCTGTAAAATAGGGATACATGTCCTCTTTATGTGGTTTTGAGGGTTGGTTTGTGTATATCTGAAGTACTTAGAACAATGCTTGGCATATATAGAAAGCCCTTAATAGATGTTGGCTTACAAACAGGTATACCCTAGCCAGTTCTGAAGAGCTACAGATACTGCTTTAATTATACCTACTGTGTGTGCTTTGTACTAAAAGTTATACTGTTCAAAGCTAGAGTAATGAACCTCATGAGCAGGGTTTCATAGCATTTAAGATTCTAACACCAACTTTCAATCAAGGCTAGAGGTGGCCTCTACTATCCAGTTAGCTGGGCTGCCTCTAGGCTGGGTGGTCTGTGCTTGTACTTTGTTGGGTGAAATAGCCTGACTGCTCAGTGAAGCAACAGCCATGTTGTTTTTTGTCCTTTGGAGGCTGAAAGTAGTAGAGCCGTAAATGCACTGGGCAGCCCAGTGCTGCCAACTGCTGTCTGAACCGCAATACAAAGTTTGAGGTCTGTACACACTGTGTCTGCTGGCCTTCAGATCCCAATTCCCTTTCTCTGTCAGTTTTTCCAGTCTCCATCTCATTGTTTTCAACACAGATGATTTGTTAAATGGAAACTGATTTACATTTCCTACCTGTTCAGACTTTTACAAAAACTAAAGTTGTAAATCAGAAAAATTGCTTTTGACACATGTGTGGTTAGGAAAATATGGACATGGTTACCTAAGCCTAGCCTTGTAATATAAATCAAAATAACCATTCCCTCATTGTACAATTCTCCCCATATCTTAGAACATGTTACCTTCCATCCTTCCCTAGAGCCACATTTTTTGGTTTGTGTTATTAAGAGGGTTATTTACGATTTCTCAGGAGTGAGACTAGTGGGCACTACCCCTTTCCCAGTTCTTTGGGCAATCTCTTGCTTCACCTACACAAGATTACCATTTGCTAGGACTTGAATTTACTAATTTGTTCATACCTCAGGAGCGAAAACTCAAGTCAAGAGGAAACTGTTTTGGGGCTTCCCTGGTGGCACAGTGGTTGAGAATCCGCCTGCCAATGCAGGGGACACGGGTTTGATCCCTGGTGCGGGAAGATCCCACATGCCGCAGAGCAACTAAGCCCATGAGCCACAACTACTGAGCCCGTGTGCCGCATCTACTGAAGCCCACGCGCCTAGAGCCCGTGCTCGGCAATGAGAAGCCACCGCAACAAGAAGCCCGCGCACTGCAATGAAGAATAGCCCCCGCTCACCGCAACTAGAGAAAGCCCGCACGCAGCAACGAAGACCCAACTCAGCCAAAAATAAATAAATAAATTTATTTAAAAAAAAAGAGGAAACTGTTTTAATAAGTAACCACAGACACAGAAGTAGCGAGAAATGATGGGGAAAAGATAATCCACTATAGCGAAGACCAAATGAAAGGTGATATTTCACAACTGCTAGGTTGACGGTTTAACTTGGGTTTTTTTTTTCCCCTGTAAACTGGTATTTGCTAAGCAAGTTTAGGGAAAAATTCCACATGCTCAATCATGTTTTCCAAACTCCACTTCTCATAATAAACCATTGGCTTGGAGTGCTTGCTCTAATTTCTCTATTCCATTAAACAAGTGTGGGATTTCTTTTAATTCAAGAATGTTAATGTGCAACATTTGTTACTTTGTTGTTAGTGACCTCTACCATCACCCAAATTGTTAATAATCCAAGTAATAAGTGATTACATTGGATAGCTGTTTGTAGGTGATTTAAAAAAAAAAAAAGATACATACGTTGAATAGAATTAACTGTGCCCTTCCAGAACTTTGGATCTGTGTTCCCATTCAGATTTTATTTGTAATCTCCCTACCCCCCACCATCAGCAATGGCATAATGTAAATTATGTGGTATCTGCCATTTAAAAACTATTTTAACCATGGTCTCTCTCCTTCCTTTTTTGTTTTAAACATAGGACATGGATTTGATTGACATACTTTGGAGGCAAGATATAGATCTCGGGGTAAGTCGAGAAGTATTTGACTTCAGTCAACGACGGAAGGAGCATGAGCTGGAAAAACAGAAAAAACTTGAAAAGGAAAGACAAGAACAACTGCAAAAGGAGCAAGAGAAAGCCTTTTTCGCTCAGTTACAACTAGATGAAGAGACAGGTGAATTCCTCCCGGTTCAGCCAGCACAACACATCCCGTCGGAAACCAGTGGATCTGCCAACTACTCCCAGGTACAGGGTACTCAGTTCTTGGGAAGGTAAAACATCTGGATTTGAGTTCCAGCTTTGCCTTTTACTTCATGAACTTATTAAGTCAACTTCCCAGCCTCAGCCTACTGATGAGTTCAGTGCCTGACTGACTTACCTCAGTGTAAGGATTAGGAGGACATAAATTACATGGAAGAGCTTTGTAAGCTATAAAAACATTATGTAATTGCAAGGATCAAGCAGCTGCAACAGTAGTGACAGTAGTAGGACTGTTGTAGTAGGGATTATTCATGTACTGTGACAGGTACTGTTCTAAAGTATTTGAAATATTGATTGATTTAATCAATTATGAGTTAATTACCATTATCCTACTTTATCTACAGATGAGCAATTGAAGCCCAAAGAGGTTAAATAACTTGCCCAGAAACTGGGCAATAAATTGGGGGGTGGGGGCCAAGATTTGAAACTAGATAGTCTGGTTTGATTCTGTGCTCTTTACTATACTAAACTGACTTCTGAAACAAGAGGAATGTTTGACTAACTAGACTGTAAACATTTTATGAACACGGAACAATTTTTTTCTTCCTCTGTGTCTTTCCCTTTTATGCAGGTAGCCCACATTCCCAAACCAGATGATTTGTACTTCGACGACTGCATGCAGCTTTTGACAGAGACATTCCCATTTGTAGATGACAATGAGGTATTAACATTTAGTTAACAGCAAATCTCCACAACTATACATAACGTATCGTATATTGGTCCCTTTGATGTATCTCCATTTAAAAAAAAAAATGAAAAACTATTTCAGGAGCAAATTTTATCAAGGAAACCTTAGCCTATAGGTAACTTTATGATTTGAAAAAAAAAAAAAAAAAGACACACCTCCTTCCCCCACATAATACAAAACCAAAAACGTTTACTCCTGCATAGCCAGAGGGATGGGTGAGCATAACCGTGGAAACAAGTTAACTCTCTTGTTATAGGTACTTAGAAATTTTGGTGAGTAAAAAGCAAGCTGGGTAGTAAACCAAGACTTTTTCGGTTAACAATTTTAATAAGTTTATTGTCTGAAGCACTATACTAGGTATTACATACATATATACAAATTAAATTCTAAAGATTGTTCTTACCCATTTTGACGTTTACCTTCAAATGCATAGGATAAAGCAATTAAGCTAGTAAATGAGTAAATGTGGAGTCAGCTGGGCAGGACAAAAACATTTGTTTCATTATATAGAAATAGGAGTCGTAAGTCCCCATTGTAAGTAGAGAAATACAGAACTGCAGCCAATTCCAGTCTAAGATGTTGTGATGGCCTTGGAGCATACCCATCCACTGCTGGTGGCAGATTCATGTAGATAAATGCCTTCTCAATTTTAGGTTTCTTCAGCTACGTTTCAGTCACTTGTTCCTGATATTCCCAGCCACATCGACAGCCCAGTCTTTATTGCTCCTAATCAGGCTCAGTCACCTGAAACTGCTGTCCTTCACTTAGCCACTGCTGATTTAGACGATATGCAGCAGGATATTGAGCAAGTTTGGGAGGAGCTATTATCCATTCCAGAATTACAGGTAACTAAGATCTAATATAATAAATACCAAAGATGCTATTTTATATTCAGTCCCTTTAAATTAGTCATTCCAGTTATTTATTATTTATATGCCACCTACTTATAGGAAGGATTGGAGGGTGCTTTTAAATTAGTCATGAGAGCTGCCCATGCTCACTTCAGTGAACTTTTGTTAGCTAAGTGGACTGGATGTCTTGAGGGACAGATCAGGTTATAAACCTGAAGTCTGATCTGGGAACTCTGAAAATAATACATATGCTTAGGCATAAGTATCTGTTGGAAATGGGAATTACCTCTGAATTCTAGAAGAGCCTGGTGTGAATGGGGGTGGGGAGAGATTACCGTCAGATATGGATTATCAGCTATTAAAAATAGCTTAACCTTGACTTAACGTAGTATAAACTTCTTTTCCATGCAGTGTCTTAATATTCAAAGTGACAAACTGGCTGAGACTAGCGTGGTTCCAAGTCCAGAAACCAAACTGGTGGAAATTAACAACAATTATCATTTCTATTCATCAATCCCCTCACTGGAAAAAGAAGTAGGTAACTGCAGTCCACATTTTCTCAGTGCTTTTCAGGATTCCTTCAGCAGCATCCTCTCCACAGAAGAATCCAGCCAGTTGACAGTGAACTCATTAAATTCAAATGCCACAGTAAATACAGATTTTGGTGATGAATTTTATTCTGCTTTCATAGCAGAGCCCAGTACCAGCAACAGCATGCCCTCCTCTGCTACTTTAAGCCAGTCACTCTCTGAACTTCTAAACGGGCCCATTGATATCTCTGATCTATCACTTTGTAAAGCCTTCAACCAAAACCACCCTGAAAGTGCAACAGCAGAATTCAATGATTCTGACTCTGGCATATCACTGAACACAAGTCCCAGCATGGCATCACCTGAACACTCAGTGGAATCTACCATCTGTGGAGACACACTGCTTGGCTTCAGTGATTCTGAAATGGAAGAAATAGATAGTTCTCCTGGAAGTGTCAAACAGAAGGGTCCTAAAACACAGCCAGTAAGGCCTTCTGGGGATACAGTCCAACCCTTGTCATCATCTCGGAGGAACAGTGCTCCAGTGTGTGATGCCCAGTGTGAAAATACACCAAAGAAAGAAGTGCCTGTAAGTCCTGGTCATCGAAAAACCCCATTCACAAAAGACAAACATTCAAGCCGCTTGGAGGCTCATCTCACAAGAGATGAGCTACGGGCAAAAGCTCTCCATATCCCATTCCCTGTAGAAAAAATCATTAACCTCCCAGTTGATGACTTCAATGAAATGATGTCCAAGGAGCAATTCAACGAGGCTCAACTTGCATTAATTAGAGACATACGTAGGAGGGGTAAGAATAAAGTGGCTGCTCAGAATTGCAGAAAAAGAAAACTGGAAAATATAGTGGAACTGGAGCAAGATTTAGATCATTTAAAAGATGAAAAAGAAAAATTGCTCAAAGAAAAAGGAGAAAATGACAAAAGCCTTCATCTACTGAAAAAACAACTCAGCACCTTGTATCTTGAAGTCTTCAGCATGCTACGTGATGAAGATGGAAAGCCGTACTCCCCAAGTGAATACTCCTTGCAGCAAACGAGAGATGGCAATGTATTCCTTGTTCCCAAAAGTAAGAAGCCAGATACTAAGAAAAACTAGATTTGAGCAGATCTGACCTTTTCTGAGCTAGTGGGTTTTTGTTGTTGTTGTTGTACTGTTATACTAAAAGCTCCTACTGTGATGTGAAATGCAGAAATACACTTTATAAGTAATTCTATGCAATAGTCAAAACTAGTGTAGAAAATATAAAACTTTAAGAAGCATTAAAATAAGTTATCAGTATGCTGAATCAGTAGTTTCACTTTAACTGCAAACTTAATTTCTTAAAACACCATTGGGGCTAGTTTCTATATACATGTAAATACTACAAAAACTCCTTATTTATACTGTTCTTATCTCATTTGTTACTTTCGTAGATTTATATGATACATCTGGCTAAAAGCAAATTGTTGCAAAACTAACCACTATGTACTTTTTTAAATAAATACTGTATGAACAAAAAAATGGCATTTTTTATATTAAATTGTTTAGCTCTAGCAAAAGACAATTTATGAAAAGCTGGTACTAATAAAGGAATATTATGACCGTTAAATTATTTCTTTGAAGTTCATTCACAACCTTTTATGACAATAATATGGAAAGCACTACACTAAATTGGTACGGGAGATACAGGGAAATGGAGTATATCAAAAAGATTTTCTCGGGCTTCCCTGGTGGCACAGTGGTTGAGAGTCCGCCTGCCGTTGCAGGGGACACGGGTTCACACCCTGGGTCTGGAAAGATCCCGCATGCCGCAAAGCCGCTGGGCCCGTGGGCCGCAGCCGCTGAGCCTGCACGTCCGAAGCCTGTTCTCCGCAACGGGAGAGGCCACAACGGTGAGAGGCCCGCGTACCGCAAAAAAAAAAAACCTTTCTCTTCAGCAGCAAGTATATCTCAACTAAAAAAAATGCTCTATATACTTTGACATGAAAACACCGCTTCTTTTACTCCTATCAAGGTATATGCCATACATTTGAAGGTGTGGGAGAACCATCCTACTAACAGAGTATTACAGACACAGGAAGTTGGAAGGCTCTGAGGCCTGTTTGAGAAAATATATGGCTGAACATGGAGAGGGAGAAAAAGGGTGGGTGAGTAGAAAAGCACATGGCACAGATCCTTGTTAAGCCTTCATAACCTTTGCTTTTACCTTGTGGAGAACTACTGGCAGTGTTAAGTAGGGGTAACATCTGAGTTAAAAGTTTCCTCTGCCTTGTGTGTCGGCAGTAGTCTACAGGGTAAAGGTAGGAGACCAATGGGAAGGCTCTGAAATACTCACATGGAGTATGGTGTCTTGGTTTAGAGTGATAGCAGTAGTGAGAAGGCACTGGATTCTGCATGTTTCAAAGAAGGAACTAAAAGGATTTTCCAATAGAATGGATGCAGAATGAAGGTAGACTCAAGGACTTGAACATCTGAAAGAACTGAGTTGCCCAGAGATGGTTAAGACTGTGGCTAGAAGATTTAGGTGGGAAAACCAGTTCACTTTGGGACATATCCAGTGATTAAACATGTAAACAGCAGGTACAATAGCAAGGCCCCTCAAAATTTTGAGACTCTGCAGGCCACCCAAGAAACCATTCACAGCACTGATCATTTTCTTCATTTGGTCAGATATTCACGTCTTGCTTGGTTTCATTTTGAAGTGGGTAAATGGAAGTCATCTGAGGGCTCAGCATGTTTAAAATAAGCACTACGTGCAGGTTATTCACCAAAAGTCCTATCAATCCATCAGGAGCAATATAGTGTACAGGGTCCACAGGCCCTAGAGCCAGACTGCCTGGGCTGCTACCATTTTCCAAGAATGACCTCCAGTGAGGCAAAGCACCGAGGCTGCTTCATCTGTAAAGCAGGGATAAGTATGCAGTGAATTACTCCACAAGAAGCACTGACCCTAGCTAATAGTAAGCACGCTATAAATGAGACTTTTTTCTTCAGCCTTTTATTAGCATGCCTTTTAGTTGCAAGTGAAAGAAACTAAAGTCAAACCAGCTTAATAAGAATTTGACTCAGCCGACTGTAAAGTTCAGGGTTGAAAACGACTTCAAGGACTATCTAGGCATTCAAATGTGGAGATTCTGTGGTCTGTCCTGTGTGGTCAAGAATTCCTTCCCATAGTGGTGTTTTAGAGATCCCTGGAAGACACATCACTTTTTCAACCTCAGAAGACAAAAATCTCATCTCGAATAAAGTGCCCTTAAACAAAATTATGGGTGGGAGTGATGGCAATCTGTTAACAGCAGCCCCCATCTGGAGCACATGGAGTTAACTTGCACCTACTACTATCTACTCCCCCCCACACACAAGGGGGAAGAACACCTAGGCAGACCAGATTTCTACTATCATGAAACCAGATGCCTTCACTCACACATTCGTTAGTCAAACTTCAGAACTTTGCAAGTTGAAGATAACTGACCACAACCTTTCAGTGCCTAAAAATTACTCTGAAGTACTATACATGCTGCATTACATAGAACTAAAATTTTAAAAACTAACAAATCCTGACCCATGACTAGAAGATTTCACCTCTTGATCATGAAATGTTTATCTGACTCCTCAGATTAAACTTGGCTCTCCAACTGTTAAACCTTACTTGAACAGTTCCTAATTTTAAAATGGGTACCTATGCCTTTTACATTGAGGTACACCCTATTAGAAATCTTAACTGCATGACACTGCATTTGTTATATAAAATTCTTGCCGAGATTTTCTTGAAGTCTGTGGAGTAGCTGCTCAAATGTACCTTATAATACTTCCATACCCATTCTTCTAAGTCTCAGAACATATACAAAATCTTCTTTTTTACTTTAAAGATATTTATCAGGCCAATTCCAGCTTTTTAACACTTTGAGAACTGGAAAAAAATTAAAGAACTTTAATCCTATGTGGAGGAAAAAACCTCCCATTGGCATTAACTTTGTCACCCTTTAAAATTTAGGCATCGCTTCAGCACATTTTTAGAACAGTACTCATGATTATTACCAAGAATACTATCTTTAGGGACCAAGAGCCAGCTTAAGCTCTTTAAACGCATTATCCCATTTAACAACCTTCACACTTACGAGAGCAGGTAATATCAGATTACTGTTGCCAAGCATCTCAAAATACCACTTAACCATCACAACTTCTAAGTTAGAAGTTAGCCTTACCTGATACTTAAGGGTACATATTACCGAATCAAACCTGATTTTTGGTTAACTACCTTAAAAGTAACATTTAACGCGTATAAAAAAAACATTCTAAGAGGTGTGCTACCATCACCAAACTGCCAAGGGGAGCATAGCATAAAAAAGGAAACCCCAGACAACCTGATCAAGGTCACGAACCACCGTGTTAGTTCTGAACTTAAAATTTTTCCCGATAGGCAAAATCTGGCATCTCAAACAAAATCCTGATTGCATTTTTCTGATACCTACTAAATAAGGATATTGAGTAGAAAACTGAGATTAAATCCAAATAACCTATCAGTTCTTTTGATGCAGTTTACTCAACATTTGCTGGTGGAACAGACTAAATAGACAATGTATTTTTAAAAATGAAAATTCCGTGTATTCTAATTTTCAGATATAGTTGATATCTGATACAATTTTTCATCTTTGTGATAAACCCTTATTAATTGTAATGGCTATACACATGGATGTAGTGAAACTTAACCATTTCTCATTAAGCTGTCCACTTCCTTATACATAACACTATCCACATTACCAGTAAATTTCAGAAGTAAAATAGTACATACAGGTAAATCCGTTATTTCCTAGCTTTCAGTACCATGCCCACTTAACTTCTACCAGGTGAATACAGTTTAATGCACCCTTGCCATTACCTGATTGAAAATATATTAAGCAAAAAATGGCATATATTACCTATTACCTTACTCTTCCCCCAACCCTTGGTACTTTTTATTCAGTTCCAAGTTTAATTAACCTAGTGTATTTACAGGACCCTGCTTTTGCAAAACACTAATCCTCCAAAAAAATTTTAATTGCAGTTTGTAATGAGTACACGGGAGATTCCAAATTTATCTTGTTGCCTGAACATTCTGCAGTTTCATTTAATGTATTTTCACTCTGAGAAAATAAAGATAAACGTTATTTTACAACTCAAGCATTAAATTGGAATTATAAGGCACTTACAGCTACACAGAATACAAGCAAAATGTGTCAAAATCCTAAAATCCTCACATGGCTTCAATTCACAAAGTATTTCACATGTTAACAGCTATCAATGCTATGAACCCAAGTAAGTGTGGTATGAAAATTAAAAAAAAAAAAAAAATCACATCAAAACCATACCTCACAAATTTGTCAAATTTTTTGGGGGGGTGTGCTGCCCAAAATATCTTAGTTCCCCAACTAGGGATTGAACTGGGGCTCCCTGAAGTGGAAGCATGGAATTCTAACCACTGGACTGCCAGGGAATTCCCTCAATTTGTCAAACTGACACATTATCACTTGGGTTAAACTGCATAACGATAGTTTACTACTTAATTTTATTAAAGTTCTCCCCAACCCACCTTCACACCACAAAATGCTCAATTGCCTTTCTCAAGATTAAGAAACCAAGTACCTCCAAAAACAAAAAACACACAGTACCTTCCAACATTTTGAACCCTCATTTCACCATTCTCCCAAATTACCGTTCACATAATTGTCCTTACCCACAATTTTTCTCCAAAGTTAGTTCACTGACTCACCAATCACCCAAGTATCTCATGTATTCTGTCCTTTAAGAATTAAATCCTTAAGTGGCAATAAGCTTTTTCCCCACACCTACTTCTCATGTGATCTGTTTTCCACTGAATAAAATCTACATCCTTTAAATCAACTGATAATGTGAAGGCTCATGCCAAGTTTCCTGTTTTTTACTTACTGGTAAAGTATGCAATGTCCACCTATACAGCATTTAAGTCACATGAACACTGTGAAGTGACAAAACAACACACACATTTCTAAAAATATTTTAATGAAAAAGTTCTTTCTGTAAACATTTCATTATACTACAAATGAAACATTTGAATCCATTACAGACCACCTCTTAAGTCTTATAAATCAGAGTAAAACATTGAGATTTAAAAGTAATCTTGAATATTTATATAGGCTAACAATCCTTACATTACCCCTGCACATTAGCATGCTTACTCACTACTTTGTGACATCAATTACTGGAATTCCAAGAGATACTGGCATTTAATTAGAAATGTTTCAAATGGTGACTTACATATTAGAACTCTTAAAACCAAGTGTATTTCAACTGTTCAGTTCCTTAACAAACGGTCTTTGTTACCAGATAGTTTTTGTTCTTTAGGACATGAGTGTAAAATGAGCTTTTTCAGAAGAAATGTAGTGTGGGAAGCTGTAACCTATGAGTTGCTTTGACAAAATGAGTTAAGGTTTGCCTTGACCATTTTTCCCTTGTATAACTTCCTTCGTTTACTGGTGTTATGACTTAAGAGCATCGTATTTTTCAGAAATGACAGTGGAACTACATTTAAGTAAAATCACTTTATTTCATAAAGGAGATGGACTGCAAAAGAACAATGCCTTTAAAAAAGAA